TTGAATCCAGGGTGCTTACCCACTGAGCAACTTCCTCAGCTTTTTAAATTTCTTATTTAGAGACAGGTTTCACTAAGTTGTTGAGGGCCCAAGTTGCTGAGGCAGGCCTTGGACTTTTGATCCTCCTGCCTCAGCCTCCTGATGTGCTGAAATTACAGGCATGTGCAACAGTGCCCAGATTTTACACCAATATCATCAGAAACTCTGGCCCCATTAAATAATAACTCCTAGCTGGTCATGATGGTGCACACCTGTACTCTCAGATACTAGGGAAACTGAAGCAGGAGAATTACTTGAGCAAGATCAAGAGAAGTACATAGCAAGATCCCAACCCAAACAAACAACAATAACAAAAATAAACAATTAACTTCATGCTGTTAAGCTACATTCTACTTTTTCTCTTTCTCTCTCTCTCTCTTTCTTTTTCATTGCTAGAGATGGAACCCAGGGCCCCTGCTTTACCATTGAGGGATACCCTTGGCCCCTCTACTTTTTCTCTCTGTGAGCTTTCTAAGTACTTCATGCAAGTGGAAGCATGTAATATCTGTCCTGTGTTTGGCTTATTACGCCTGGCATAATGTTTTCAAAGCTCATCTGCATTGTAACTTTGATCATTACTTCCTTCTTTTTAGGGCTGGTTGATATTACATTGTGTGAATGTTCCATAGTTTGTTCCTAAGTTGATGGATGCTTGGGTGGTTTCCGCTACAGTCTTTTGGCTATTGAGAAAACCACAGATAGGAAAACTGGTGGATATGTATCTGTTTAAGTCCTTGATTTTAGTATGGTTTGATACATATTGTATCATTTGTATGCATATGTATATGTGCACATATATACGTACTGTGTAGGAGGGGAGAGGCTATGTCATTGGGTAATTGTATGTTCATGCTTACCTGCAATGCCCAAGAGTTCCAATTTCTACAAATCCTCATGATCACTGGTTATTTTATTTAAAACAACAACAAACAGGACTGGGTTGTGGCTCAGTGGTAGAGCATGTGTGAGGCTCTGGATTTTTATTTTTTATTTTGAGACAAGAGTCTGGCTAAGTTGCTGAGGCTGACCTAGAACTTGTGATCCTTCTGCTTTAGTATCATGAGTCACTGTAATCACAGGTTCATGTTATCCTGACTGCTTGTTTTTCCTTCTTGTTTTCTTTCTTTCTTTTTTACACAATACCATTTATTTATTTAATGTGGTGCTTAGGATCAAACCCAGTGCCTCCCATGTACTAGGCAAGTGTTCTACAACTGAGCTACAACCCCAGCTCTTCTTTCTTTTTTTGAAACAGGGTCTTGCTGGGTTGCCTAGGTGACCTTACTCCAACTTTATGTGTAGATTTTTTCAGTTACTTTTCAGAATTAGGGATAGACAATGAAAATTCACAGGGCTTATTGCTTTTTTAATTACCTAGGATTATTATCTGTTTGTTTTGTTTGTTTATTTATTTATTTATTTATTTTTTTATTTATTTATTTATTTTGTACCAGGGTTGAACCCAGAGACACTTTACCATTGAGCCAAATCTCCAAATCCCCCCCCTTTTTTTTAGAGAGAGAGAATTTATTTATTTATGTTAGTTCTCAGCGGACACAACATCTTTGTTGGAATGTGGTGCTGAGGCTTGAACCCTGGCCGCACGCAATGCCAGGCGAGCGCGCTACCGCTTGAGCCACATCCCCAGCCCCAAATCCCCTTTTTTATTTTTTATTTTGAGACAGGGTCTTACTAAGTTGCTTAAAGCCTAGGCTAAGTTGCTGAGGCTGGCCTCAGACTGGAGATCCTCCTGCCTCAGCCTCCTAAGTTGCTGGGATTAGAGGTATGCGTCACACGCCCAGCTAACAACCTATAAAAAACTAAATAATATAAATGGAATTAAATTGAATGGTGGTATTACCTTTATTTCTACCAACTGGTTTTCCCTTAATAAAGAAGTCCTCCAGAAACTGCTTTGAGCCACTTTCTAGAAAGGGAAAGTCAGTTTGCGCCCTCTTGTGGTGAGGATAGCAGTAGCATCCATACCTCCCTTAAGTATGGGGACTTCTCAAGGTTCTGCTGAGAGGACCCCCTCCATCCTGCCTCACAGCGCCCCACCGGCCCCACCCCAGGTAATTTCCATCAGGTAAAGGTCAGTGTAGGATATGCTCTGTGTATCCTCAATAAGCAAGTTCTGTGACAAATTAAAGAGAACAGAATCAAGTAAAAGAGATGTGGTCCTCATCCAAGATATCATATTTTATCCTAGATGACAGTTTTGAATGAATAATTTAAATTGGGAGACAGGAGAGAGCGTCAGATGGGTTCAACCCGGGGATAGTAGAGTGCAGGAAAGGAAAACTTCATACAGTCTAGCATTCAGTTACAAAACTGACTCGATGGGTCAGTCAGTGGTGTGGATGTGGGATGGAAAGAGGGTTTCAACTGATAAACTGGAGGCTGGAGATGTAGTTCTGTGGTAGAGGGCTTTCTTGGCATGCATGAGCCCTGGGGTTGATCCCCAGCACGCACACACACACACACACACACACACACACACACACAGAGAGAGAGAGAGAGAGAGAGAGAGAGAGAGAGAGAGAGAGAGGTGTGGGGTAAACTGGACATGTAAATCCTCAGACAGAGACCCCAGATAGCAACCATCCACTGTGAAGTTCAGGGAAGAGAAAAGGGAAAGTTCACATTTTTTTTTTTTTTGTTTTAGCTCTTTTCCACAATAATTTCTTAATGTGGAAATAATAGTTTGCCAGCAAATTTTTTTTTTCTCAAAGAAATAATTTTTATTTGCCAGTTTTTTTTTTGTCTGTTTTTCTTTCTTTTTTTTTCTTTTTTTTTTTTTAATATTTATTTATTTTTTAGTTATTGGCGGACACAACGGCTTTGTTGGTATGTGGTGCTGAGGATCGAACCCGGGCCGCACGCATGCCAGGCGAGCGCGCTACCGCTTGAGCCACATCCCCAGCCCTATTTGCCAGTTTTTTAATCAACATAAAATACGTTAGAAATTTCCTCTTTTGTACATAAACAGAAGGAAAACAGGAGTTCTGCAGACTTCTTTTTTTAATATTTATTTTTTAGTTGTAGTTGGACACAATATCTTTACTTATTTTATTTATTTTTATGTGGAGCTGAGGTTTGAACCCAGGGCCTTGCACGTGCCGCAAGCACTCTGCCCCTGAGCCCCAGCCTCAGCCCCAGCCCCCAGCAGACTTCTTATTCAATACAATTGAAGGTCTTTGTCTCATTTAACTAATTGAATATTGGTATTGGAGCAGGTGAATAACTTATAGAGAGGGGAGCAGCGGCCTGTGGCCAGTGACTCCAAACTGAGGCCAAGCCTGAGCCTGCAGAGGAGGGCAATGAAGTTTCTCTTGGTGCGTCCTGGGCAGGCGCCCTCTCCTGGATGTGGTCTCCAGCTGCTTAGAATAGTTAACAGAAGCAAAGTTGATGCTGGAAAACTTAAGAGCTCTGGGAGACAGGGAACCCACATGCAGATGTAGTTGGGGGGGTGTGTGCCTGTCCTTTCTGAGGCTGTGATTCTGGTTGCATGGGACTGTTTTCTGATAAGTATTTTGATTGTGGCTTACAGAGTTACTGGAGTTACTTTCACAATTATACCCTGTGAAGGTCAGGTTTAGAGACTCAGTCTCCTGGAAAAAGAGTTTATGATTTTGACAGTTTATTTAGGGCAGAACTCTAATGTGATTCCAAATGGGTGTCCCTCTGGAGAATATTAACGTATCAAGAAAGGGAGAGTTTCCACACTATAAGGAGGGGACAGTAGCACATGGTGAGCTCCCAGAGTTAAATCTTTAGATGTCCTGCTTCAGAACCAGGGAGTGATCCACAATGGGCTCCATTTCAGCAGCATCTGCTCCCAAGACTACATTATGATAACCTCTGGATGTGGGGTTTCTTTGTGAACTGTGGGTGAAACAGGATGCTTACCTGAACTACATGAAATGTTTACTTTTCTCTCTTTTCAATTCCTTTATAGAATACTGATGCCATAGAATTCCAGTTTTTCCATGCCTTTCATATGTTTGTTCTCTCCTTAGAGTGTTTTCATTTTCCTGGATGAAAATGAGTAGTTTGCAAGATAAAATTTCAGGAAGCTTTGGTCATGCTTTTGATAACATCAACCTCATATCACATTCCTAACCTTTGCAGGACATCAAGCTATTCCTCCTGTTGTAGTCTGGTCTGACCTGGCCTGAGATCCTCTCCTCCTGTGAGGCCAGGGGATTGCTTCATCGGAAGCTGAGTCTGGAATTCCCTGAGCCCATTGTGACCCCAGTCTAGTAGGAAAAAGGGGAGGGCTGGGGTTGTGGCTCAGCTGTAGAGCGCTCCCCTAGCACGTGCGCGGCGCTGGGTTCGATCCTCAGCACCACATAAAAATAAGTAAATAAAATAAAGGTATTGTGTACACTTACAACTAAAATAAATTTTTAAAAAGGCGGCGGGGGTGGGGGGAAGCTTCATGAATACAGGTAAGATGCCAGTATCTGGGTTGGGTTTGGGGCTCAGTGGTAGAGCGCTTGCCTAGCACAGGTGAGGCACTGGGTGCGATCCTCAGCACCACATAGATAGTGTGTGTGTGTGTGTGTGTGTGTGTGTGTGTGTATCTACCATTTAAAAAAAGAGATCTAAAAAAAAAGATGCCAGTGTCTTCTCTGGAAAGCCAAGAGTTAAGTTCTCCCGAAATGCAAATATTCACCTACTTGGCCTCCCTTTATCAGGCAAGGTTCTGGGGAGAAGAGAAAACCCAGTCTCAGAAAGGATGGAGGCTAGGACCTGTCATTCCCGCTCCGCTTGCTTCTTCTTTCAATATTCGGGGGCGGGGCCTGAACCGTATCCAATCAGGAGCGCAGGGGTGGGCTGCGGACTGTCCAATCCGGCGGCGCGACCCCGCCGCGCCCGCGGGTGTTCAACATTCTCGCGGGATCTTATTTCTCGCACCCCCCAGCTCCACTGCGGTTTGGCTTCCCTGCTACGGGGGGCGGGTCGCTCTGCTGCTCCGGGACCGAGCTGTAGGCCGGTTGCGGGAGCCGTGGGGAGAACCTAGGAGCTCTCGGAAGCGGGGAAACGGTGAGTGAGGGGCGGGGCGTTCTGAGATGGGGCTGAGGCTGGTGGAACCGGCCCTGGGGGGACCCCGGCCTCCCTGCCTCAGTTCCGCAGTCTGTGGCCCTGTCAGCCGCCGGCGCCTCTGGGTCCTCGGGCATCTCTGGGTCCTCGGGCACCTCGGCCCAGCGGGGTGGGGCCGGGCGGGAGGCCCGTACCCACTGTCCTCTCCTGTACCTGCGCGGCGACTTGGGCCGAGCCAGAAGCCCTCTCTGGACAGCGCTGTGTCCCCCCCGACTGTGCGGTGGCGGCGGAAGGGTCTAGGGGACATCTCGCGTGAGGGGTTCGTGCGCTGAAGGGGCTGTGGTCGGTGGGGTCCTCTGTCCCTCCTTTTCCCGCTCCAGGGTCATCGTTTTCCCCTTGAGTTTTACAGATGTATGGGAAACAGTGTCACAAATCCACATCCCTGTCCCCATGCCCAAATGCCAACTGTCCTCCTCCAGTTCACAACATCAGTGTCAACTATTCATCTTTCGTTTTGTCCGATTCATATGGACATCACATTTTAATTGCTTAGTTTCCCACAAAGCAATGAATGACGTTCTTTAAAAGATGTATTTTGTTTGGAATCTTTTCAACCAAGAGTAAAGCAGAGGAAAACTTCCTGACACTCCACTGTAAGAATCTTCCAATCTCCTTTTTTATATTATCTAGACACAGACGCCTTTTAAGAATGTCTCGGGGGCTGGGATTGTGGCTCAAAGGTAGAGCTTTCGCCTGCCACACAGGAGGCACTGGGTTGGATCCTCAGTACCACATAAAAATAAGATAAAGATATTACATCCATCTATAACTAAAAAATAAATATTAAAAAAGAATGTCTTTGGGTAGAGGGTTCCCTTTAGAAACTTTATGGGTACTAGGTGTGGGTGGACCTCTCCAGTAATCCCAGCAATTCAGGAAGCTGGGCAGGAGAATCAAAAGTTCGAGGCTAGCCTCAGTAACTTATCCAGACCCCATCTCAAGATTAAAAATTTAAAAAAGGGCTGAGGATGAAGCTCAATGGTAGAGTGTCCCTGGGTTCAATCCCCAGCACCGTAGTGAATGAATGAATGAATGAATGTATGTAAGACCAAAATTCCATAAGGCCAATGTTGATTCTGCAAAGAGAGGTCATTGAAGTCCTGCCTGGTTGGTTCTTCCTGGGGAGCCTTCTCTGTGTCCTGCTTGCCSACACCAACTATGGCAGGCACCCTTTATTTTTATTTATTTATTTATTTTATTTTTTAGTTCTCGGTGGACACAACATCTTTGTTGGTATGTGGTGCTGAGGATCGAACCCGGGCCACACGCATGCCAGGCAAGCGTGCTACCGCTTGAGCCATATCCCCAGCCGGCAGGCACCCTTTAAATTGAGAAGATGTACTGGACAGCTGGGGATGCATATGCTGATGGGGTTGGGTCGAAGAGGGGGTCTTGATGTCCTCTCTCCTTCTTTGTTTTTAGTGGTGCTAGGGATGAAACCTGGGGCCTTGTGCATGCTAGGCCAGCATTCTGTCACTGAATTACACACTCTGTCCCTAATACCTTTTCTGAAGGTGTTATTTGCACTAGGGCTGTTTCTGGACAGTGTCTTTCAAACAAAATCCTGATTGAGGTGTGAAGTGATTTTATTTGAAAGGAATATTGTAATAGGGAGAAACCCCTACTATCTCAACAGTTAATGAGGAGCAAATGAGTAGAAAACAGGTGGAGTCCTGCATGGTGGTGCACACCTGTAATCCCTGAGGCCAGAGATTCTGTATGACAATAGATAAGGCCAGAGGATGGCAAATTCCAGGCCAGCCTGGGTAACTTGGTGAGACCCTGTCTCAAAATAAAAAGGGCCAAATATATCTCAGTGGAAGTGTCCCTTTGTCCCTAATACCATGGGGAGGGAGGAAGGTGGAGATCAGGGGATGACATAGGGTCGCATTTCAGGGAATGTTTTCCCCTGAGGTCAACCTGTTCTTAAGAGAACATTAAGGGAGGGGCTGTCTGCTAGTTTAGGTTGAGAGGGCTCACTCCTAAGCAGTGATTCAAGAAATTTAATTCTGGCACCTCCACACCCTACTGTCTCCTCCTCTTTCAGGGTCTCAATTCTCACCTGCACAGGAGGGTGGTCTTCAGGCTTGGGAGTGTGTTTCACCTTCTGAGTGTGGGTCCCCATGTGAACTGTGGGTGAAGCAGGCTGCTTTCCTTAGCTGCTTTCCCCTTGTTCCCTTTGTGGGATCTTGTTGCCACTGGATCACACTTTGTTCATGTGCTTAGGCATGGGATACCATGGTGTAGGTGTAAGTTTTTCTTGTTTGGAACCCGAATGGATTGAATAATAAGATCTGAAGTGGCAAAGAGAGTCTTGAAATAAATTATTTATTCTATGCTTAGTTTATACAGTAAGAACATAAACATGCATGGACTTACCACCCAAGTGACTAAATTGACTATTGTCAGTTATGCTATGACTCCTTGATGTCACCACCTATCTGCACTCAGAAGTCACCACTGCCCCAATTGTTTTCATTATTCTGTAGAGCATACCATCTGTTTATCATGAAGCAGAATTTTGCCTCTTTTCAGAGTTCAGTAAGTTAATATTATTATCAACATACCATTGATATTGTGCCGAAGGGCTTTTCTTGTGCTTTCTTTGCCTTAGTCTGTCGCACACATGCTGCTGAGGCACGGCTCACACAGTTCACTCACCATCTACTGCTATAAGACTTGGGTTGTTTCGAGTTTGTCCTTTAATTAGTTATTTTGCATGCTGAGAATTGAACCCAGGACTTTGCATTTGCACATGCTAGGCAAGTGCTTTGCCACTGAGCTAGATCCCCAGCTCTCAAGGTGTTTCTCTCTCTCTCTCTCTCTCTCTGTATGTTATTGGGGATTAAACCCAGGGTTCTTTACCATGAGCTACACCCCTGGACTTTCTAATTTATTTTTTGAGACAGGGTCTTACTAAATTGCCTAGACTAACCTGGAACTTGGAATCCTCATGCCTCCTGAATAGTATGCACCACCACACCCAAGTTTATTATTGTTTATTATTATTGTTGTTATTTTCAGTCCCGGGGAATTGAACCTAGGTGTGCTCTACCACTGAATTACATCCTCAGTCCTGCCCCTCCCTGCCTTTTTTTTCACCAGGGATTTAACCTAGGGGTACTTTACCTCTGAGCTATATCACTAGCTCCCTAATCCTTTAAAAATTTTTTTTAGGTCTTGCTAAGTTGCCCAGGCTGGTCTTGTGATCCTCTTGCCTCTGACTCATGAGTAGCTAGGATTATAGGCATGTGCCACTGTGCCTGGCTGAAGTTTGTTGACAGTGTCATTCTTGTTCTTGTCCACAAGTTTTAATGCCTTGAAAACTTTTTATACAGTGGGGAAAATGGCTTGGTTGTCGGTTATGGATAAATTCAGATTTAATAGGAAATGTTGCTGGAGCACGTGTAATAACTGTCTGACCTTTCCTAAGTATTTATTCTTGCAATTTGTCAATGTTTCCAATTATCTAATTAATCTTTTCATCTATTGTCATACAGACTCTCCAATGGTCATATATTACTTTACATAGTCATGTTCTGCATAATGACATTTCAGCCAACAACGGACCCTGTGTAGGACAGTAGTCACCAGCAGCCTCCTACAGCTGGTGGTTTACTGCATCTTTTGATTGTTCTCATATACTCAATTTAATTTTATGCTATTGTGTTCATCATGGCTCCTACTCACACAAAATCCACTGCTAAAGTTGCCAGTAAGAGGCCACGTCGAGTGATTGACCTAGAAACAAAATTAAAATTGATTAAGGACTATGAAGGTGGAAAATCAGTAATGGTTATTGCTCGCCAATCAGGGATGTCCCATTCCACCATAGCTACAATCTTGAAGAACAAGAACAAAGTGACAGAAGCTCTTAAAGGATCTGCCTCATTGAAGGCCACCAGACTAACAAAAATTCGAGAAGGGCCCATATCAGATATGGAGAAACTTCTAATGACCTGGATTGAAGATCAGACACGGAAGCGGGTCCCTCTCAGTACTATGATGATTACAGCTAAAGCCAAAAGTTTGTTTGCAATGTTGAAGGAAAAGGCTGGACCCGACTATAATGTTGAATTCACTGCCAGCTCTGGGTGGTTCAAGCGATTCAAGAATCGCTATTCATTACATAATGTGAAAGGGAGTGCTGATGTCACCAAGGAATGTATGAATGGCATCTGGAAGAAGACACTCAAGAGGTTTGTCCATGATTTCAAAGGATTTGCTCAGGAAGAGGAAGGTACAAACATGGATAAGGCTGTGGTTGAGATGGCCAACAACTTTACTCTGGGTATGGAGGAGGATGACATGGAGCTCCTGGAGGTGGTTCCTGAGGAACTGACCAGTGAGGAGTCGTTGGACCAGGAGCGCAAAGCCCAAGAAAAAGCAAGAGAAAAGGAAACTGCAAAAGAAGAGAAAGAACTTCCAAGAAAATTCACAGTGTCGGGTCTAGCAGAAGCTTTTACAGACCTCAACAAGCTCCTTAAAAAGTTTGAAAGCATGGACCCCAACCCTGAAAGGTTTTCATTAATAGAGAAGAATGTTCATGGTGCATTATCTGTGTACAAACAGATCTATGAGGCAAAAAGGAAGCAAACCACCACAGACATATTTCTGAGAAGAGTGACACCTCAAGAGCCTCAGGCAGGTCCCTCAGGAGGCATTGTCATCATAGGAGATGATGGCACTATGCACATTATTGCCCCTGAGGACCTACCGGTGGACCATGTCAGAGAGGGGGAAGTCAGTGATATTGATGATCCTGATCTTGTGTAGGCCTAGGCTCATTCGTATGTTCATGTCATAGTTTTTTAACAAAAAGCTAAGAAGTTTAAGAAAAATTAAAAATCAAAAAAAGCATCTAGAATAAGGATATAAAGAAAAGATTTTTATACAGCTGTGTAATGTGTCGGTTTTAAACTGTTATTACAAAAGAGTCAAAGGTTTAACATCTTAAAAAGTTGATAAAGTAAAAAAAAAAGTCTGGTAAGGTTAATTTGTTATGGAAGAATGGAAAAATTATATATTTTAATAATCTGGAATAACCTAAGTGTACAGTGTTGATAAAGTCTTACAGCAGTGTACAGGAATGTCTGCAGCCTCCACATTTACCCCTCACTCGCTGATAACCAGAGAAACGTCCAGTCCTGCAAGCTCCATTCATGGTAAGTACCCTCTACCTGTGTACCATTGGTTATTTTTTATCTTGTTTTTGCTGTACCTTAGACACACAAATACTTAACATTGCATTACAGCTAAGCATGGTGGCACATGCCTATAACCCCAGCAGCTTGGGAGGCTGAGGCAGGAAGATCACAACTTCAAAACCAGCCTCACCAACAGTGAGGTGCTTAGCAACTCAGTGAGACCCTGTCACTAAATAAAATACAAAATAGGGCTGGGGATGTGGCTCAGTGGTCGAGTGCCCCTGAGTTCAATCCCTGGTAGCAAAACAAAAACAAACAAACAAAAAAACCCATTGCATTATACCTGTCCATTGTGTGAAAGCAATATTGTATTTTATACATTTAAAATTTTTTGTGTGTGCTAAAACTGGAAATGAACCACATGTTTGTTTATGTCATAGTTTTTAACAAAAAAAAGTTGAAGAAGTTAAAAGAAGGTTATAGAGTAAGAATATAAAGAAAGAAAATATTTTGTACAGCTGTGTAATGTGTTTGTGTTTTAAACTAAGGGTCCAGTGTTCAGTAACAAGCTGTCAAGGTTTGTTGCCTGGGAACAGTCAGCTATGGCACATGGCCTGAGTGTAGGAGCTGTCCTGCCGGAGTTGCACACTCTGATGTACAATGAAAACACCTAATTAAATGTCTCTCAGAACATGTTCCCCTTGTTAAGTGATGCATGATTTTAATAAAAATAAACAAAAAAGAAAAAAAGTGACACATTCTTCTACTGGTCACCCCTGGTTTTGAGCATTTTTCTTCATGTCTTTAAACTTCTATGAAATAGTTTTCAGTCATTTTAAAAAATATATATATTTTTTAATTGTAGTTGCATACAATACCTTTATTTTATTTATTTCTATGTGCTAAGGATTGAACCCAGGGCCTTACACGTGCTAGGTGAGTACAGTACCACTGAGCCACAACCCCAGCCTGTTTTCAGTCATTTCTTATGATTAATTCATTTGCTTTTTTTTTTTTAATGTTTCATTTGTAGGGATTTTTGAAAGAACTTGAGGAGGATGGTGTCAGTTCTTGAAATCTGTAGATTTCAAGAGTGAAACCTTTTGGTCCCAGGCTTTCATTTGTTAGGGAGTTTTTGATTATTGTATCAAGCTCTGTGTTGTAGGCTTGCTCAGATTTTCTATTTTTTCATGACTGCCTCTGTAGATTACGTTTCTAGACATTCATTGATATCATCATTGTTACCCAATTTGTTGGCGTGCCCCTGGGGACTTCCAAGGGGGCTCTAAGCTCTGTTCTCAGTGCATTCTGCAGGTGGTGCAGGATGCTCTGGCAGGGAGAAGTGTTCCACTGCCCTGTGATCAGGCCTTGTTTTGAGGAAGCCTGTGTTCCTGGTTGGTGACTTGTCATTTCACCCCTCCACTGGTAGAGGTAGACAGGTTAGAGGGACATGGACTTACTTGGGTGTTTCCCTTCCTCCCAGAGGTTGGGCTCTGGGAACATTCCATTTGGTTATGCTTTTGGCTTACAGTTTTCTTTTGAAGGAAACTTAAGGAGGACAGAATTCTCTGGGGATATTTCTAAACAACTGCTGTTTTCATCTCCCTATCAGAAGCAGGAAGCCATTTTTCTTGAATCCACTGGGTTTCTGACAGTGAGGTTTACAAATCTGTGCAGTTCCCTAAGCCTGGGCCTTTTCAAGTATTTAAGTCTCGGGTCTGTCCTTGCTTATCCCCAGCAATTCATTAATTACAGTTTAGGTTGACCTCCTTCTGCTCACAGGGCAATCCTGAAGTTGCTGCTCATTGATCTTTGTTCTAGGAAATGATGATTCTTGATCTGCCTTTTAACTCTGCAACTTGAGGACAGTGGATTGCCCTGTGACCTCGGTTCTCCTGTGGATCTAGGAGGAGCTGCTGCTTGAGCATCTTTGTCTTTTTCTTGTGGAGCAGGACTGTTGTCCTCTATGTCCTTCTCTGCTGGTTTGGAACCAACACTGATTTCTTCTGAGGGCAGAGTCCATATGAGCTTCTGCTCATCCCTACCTCAACACTGCCACACTGGGGACCAAGTTTCTAGCACATGAACCCTTGGGGGACACACACAAACCAAGGTTTCTTCTGTTAAATATGTTTTGGCCATTTCCCCATGGTTTAATTATGTGTTCATTAATTTATTTTCACTCTGCACACTAATTCTTTAAATTTATTATTTTTAAATTTTCTAGTTGTAAGTGAATCCAATACCTTTATATTATTTATTTTTATTTAGTGCTAAGGATCAAACCCAGTGTCTCATATATGCTAGGCAAGTGCTCTATCCCTGAGCCACCATCCCAGCCCCACACTAATTCTTTTATATTGCATGTATGGCTGATATTCTCTCCGACTTTTTGTTTGTCTTCTACCTCTTGTTAGTACATTTCTTCATGGCTTGCTCTGTTTCTTTTATGAGAAAATTCTCTATTCTGGCATCAAAAAGATTTGTGATTTCTCAAAGAGACTAGATTTACCATTCACATTTGCAGGAAGAGTAAATTGATTATTAACTCTGAATTGGAAAGGATGCATGTTTCTAGTTTGATACAACTTTGTTCCTGCCTTATGTACTAAAGTGATCCCGATTTATGCTACTATTCTACAATGTCTGCTTCATCAATAGACAGCCTACCAAATATACGGTGGCCCATAGAAGGCTCTTTTCCCTCTCTTGGTCTATTTGTCAGTAATGTGATCTGCTGATCTTAAAATCTTTTATGTATGTTGGTCAAGTTTTCACTTTCTTCTTCAGATGGCTATAAGTATTGTCAGTTACTTGTTACTCCTATTAGATTTGGTAAAGTATTTCTGTTGACTACTAAAAGCTTTTTTTATTTTTTGAAATTTACTTTTGAAAGGTGACATTTTTAAGAATATGCGCCATCTTTTATTTCATTCTTTTTTTGGTGGCGGGGGTGGTGGTGCCAGGGATTGAACTCAAGGGTACTCAACCACTGAGCCACATTCTCAGCCCTACTTTGTACTTTATTTAGAGACAGGGTCTCACTGAGTTGCTTAGCACCTTGCTGTTGCTGAGGCTGACTTTGAACTCACGATCCTCCTGCCTCAGCCTCCCAAGTCACTGGGATTATAGGCCTGCATCGCCACGCCTGGCTATTTCACCCCCCCCTTTTTTTAATGGACACAATATTTTATTCACTTTTTTGTGGTGTTGAGGATCAAGCCCAGTGCCTCACACATGCCAGGTGAGCGCTCTACCACTGAGCCACAACCCCAACCCTATTTCATTCTTTTTTAACATATCCAATAATCATCTGGTCACAGTGGTGCTTGCTCATAATCACAGCTAGTTGGGAAACTGAGGCAGGAGGATCCCAATTTCGAGGGCAGCTTGGGCAACTTAGTGAGACCCTGTCTCAAAAAATAAACCAAAAGGGCCAGGGATGTAGCTCAATGGTAGAATGCTTGGTGTGAGGCCCAGTACTGCAGAATAAATAATTAATTAATGTAAAAATAAAAATTTGCCATTAGGGCAATGAAATAGCTTTTATTAGTGTTTTATCCTACTTAATTAAATTGTTCTACAGTACATGTTTCCAAGTGTTCTCTTGATATAATCACATAAGATAGGCTTAATTCACACAGTAACACTTTGGGACAAAAAGAGAGAGAAGTCCATTGAGACTCGGGCTCAGAGTTATTTGGGGGCTGATCAAGTAGGCTACCTCTGCCAAGCATGGGATAAAATTCCAAACTACCAGAGAGAAAAAAGAAACAGGAGTTAAGTAAATACCATATTGTTCACATAAATAGTTCAGGCTCACTGAGCCCTGGGTGCCTTCCAAAATCCAGTTCCCAAATGCCGGCAAAGGTTGAAAACTTTGACCAAGCACTTGTAAGGTTATTCAGTTTCAGGACTGCTATTCTTAACTCTTTTCCACCCAGAGTTAGTAGGACTTGGGTAAGAGAGGTTCTGTAGACCTAGGGTACAGAGAGAAAGTAGGGGTGATTCAGGCACCATGTTTTAAATCACTGAGTTCACCAACAGGAGGTGTGTTTCTAGTCCACTGTTGCTTTACTGACTCCTTCAGTCCTAACATTAGAACAGCTGTGCAGGAAGAAGTCAGTGAAGATGGAGAGTGAGAATCTGATGAACGAGTCATGAGATAAATGGGGACCTCAGAGTCATGTGAACTGATGAATTGAGTACACACCCCAGTGCTGTCGGCATCACCCTTCCTCCTGTGCACGTGCAGATCTCTCGGGACTCACTGGGCTTTGAAGGCTGAACTTCAGCTGGAAGGAGAGAACTTTGCTGGATCCTTCCCACCACACTCTCTACCAAGATGCAGTGCTGGCAGCCCTCAGGAACCTGGCCTTTGAAGGTAAGCGTGAGATCATGCCAGATTAGCTGGAGGTCGAGAGTTTCTTGCTCATCAATGCTGCTCAGTGATTTAGAAAATGGAAGGGGAGTACTTTGGTCAAGATGGCCTTAGTGTACCATAAGCCTAGAATCTGATATTTTTTATAATGGTGTAAGTAATTCATAATGATTTTCTAGGTCTACATTTTAGAAATAAAATTGGAAGACTAGAACATTGAAGACCAGTGCAGAAATCAAATCTATACTCTCAGTCACTCAGGAGCCTGAGGCAAGAGGATGGTGAGTTGCCTGGGCAACTTAGTGATCCTCAGTCCACATGCAAAGCAAGGATCATATCCTTTGAGAAATCAAAGGTAATTTGTAAGAGAAACTTTGTTCCTTGAAAGGATCTGAGAATCTTAAAAAATAAGATTAAATAAAAAAATAAAACATAATGCCATTTTCAAATTTTTTATTATTAGAACATTTTTTTCTAAAAATATATATTTATGGCTGGGGATATAGCTCAGTGGCAGAGCACTTGCCTAGCATGTGTGAGGTGAGGCCAGGGATTCAATCCCAAGCACCACAAAAACAAAACAAAACAACAATAAAAAAGTACTTAAATGTGACATTGATGTTTAGAGTTTGCAAAGTAGCTCATTTGAATACAGTATTAAGAAATCCCATTAATAGCTAGGCACATGCCAGAAATCTCAGTGGTGAGATAGGAGGATTGGGAATTCAAAGCCAGCTTGAAGAAAGTTAGCGAGGCACCAAGCAACTTAGC